GGCGATCTCTGGCCTGGAGTCCCGCATGCCAGCCCTGGGTCCCACCGAATGTTCGCCCGCGCTACTAGGCTGGTGGCCTCAGCTGGATTCGCCGATGGCTCGCCCTGGGGCGGCAGGCACGTCGGTCCAGCCGCGGCCAGAAGGTCGCGCCATCCAGCCATGGCGAGCGTGCCATCCAGGCCGGACTCGTCAAGCCGACAGTTCAAGTCGCCGACGTAGAGGGCTGGCACCTCCCCGAGCCCTTGCAGCCGCTCGATCCCGCCAGGGAAGAGGTCTGCGTTGGCCTCGGCGTCGCGGCGACCGCTGGCATAACCGCGGCAGTTCATGCAGTGCGCCGCGCGGGAGCTGCTGAAATGCAGGGCGACGTGCTGCAGGCGGCGGGAATGCCGCCCTGAAAGGCCGAGGGGGGCCAGCCCTCGCCGCGCAGCGCGTGGGCGAGTGCGCCGCCGCCAGCAAATAATGCCCCCCGTCGACGGCCGCCCCCGCAAGAAGCCGCGAGTCGCGGGACCTCGCGGCCTGGGCAAGCGCGAGGGCCTCTAGCTCAGGGATCCGTGCTTCCTGCGCGCACCGCACCGCCGCCGCCCCCGCCGCGAGGGCTTCGCGCCAGGCGTCACCACCATCAGCGCGTGCGCCCTCGGCGGAGAAGCAGCCGGCCCAGGGCGCGCCGCCTCTCCGAGTTGCATGCCGCACCTAGGGCTCCGCAGCTGGCGATCACGCGGCGGCAGGTCCGCCCGACTCAGCAGCTGGCGCCACCCCGCCTAGCACTGGCAGCAGTCCGCAGGCGGGGGGCGAGGCCGAGCGCTCAGCCTGGGGGCTGCCTCCGCGGCGCCGCCACCTCCCCGGAGCCGCCTCGTGCCCTGGGGTGCATGCTGCCAGGGGCCGCCGTGGCAGCGGGCGGGTGCCATTCGAGAGCACCTCCAGCTGCCCCACCTCGGCCACCTCGGCGCGCCCACTGCTCGGCCAAAGTCCGCCGCCCGGGCTGCAGCAGCTCCCAGCGAGCGAACGGGGGGACGAAGGCCTTCGGGGATTCCCTGCGCCGCGTGGACCGGGATCGCGCCGACTTTCGATCGTCGCGGGGGCGCCTCCGAGGAGGGGGCGTTCCGCGGCGCCCGCTGGCATCCCCAGCATGCGACCCCACGGTGCAAGCGCGCGCGGAAGCCTGGCGGCGCCCGCTGGGCGGCATCTGCCAGCCTGCGTCGGGGCCAGGCATGGCCGCCTCGGCAGCCGCATGCTGCGACCTGCGACGCAACCTCGGCAGCCGCGTGGCCGTGCTGTCGCGGACTGCCTGGCCGCCCAGAGCCGCTTTGGTTTGCCGCCGCCGCCGCACCACTGGCAGGCCCAGCAAACCTTGCGCAAGCCGGCGTCGGCTGCAGCGCTCCGCGAAGTTGCTCCAGCAGACCGGCCACGCCAGCCTGCGTGTCTGCAGGCGCGGCGGCCGCCAGCGCGGCGAAGGCCGCCTCGACCCCCTCCGCGGGGGGTCAGGGCTGCCCGCTGGCCCAGCGGCGCCGCCCGCGGCTGCTTCGGCCCTCGAAGCTTCCAGCTGTTGTCGGGCGGCCGCCTCCTGCCTCGGCCTGCAGGGGCCCGCTCCTGCATGTCGGCCGCGGCCAGCGCCGCCTGGTCGGCCGCATCTCGAGCATCGTCGGCGGCTTGACGTGCCTTCAGGGTAGCCTCGGAGCGGCACAGCAAGGCGTCCACTGGCCTGAGCGCTCGAGCGGCGCGCTTTCGCCTCCACCAGCGCCGTCGCCTCCCGCTCCCACTGCGCCGCGTAACCGGCGAACTCTGGGAAGGCCCTTGTCGCGGCAATCCGGGCACACACGGCTGCCAGGCGCGATGCCCGGCCGCCGGCTCGGCCATCTCGGTATCGGCGGCCTCCGCAGCCGCAGTCGCGCCGCCCGCCTTAGGCGCAGCCCCTGCGGCCTGGCGAACCGCCGCGTCGCCCTGGGGCTCTGCTGCTCGCTGGGCCTAGGGCGCCCTCGTGGCGGGCCCCGTCGCCCGGCTCGCTGAGCCCACTCGCACCGAGGGCGCGCCCGAGCGGCGGGCGCGGCGCCCGCGGCCCCGGCAGGTCGTGCGGCATGCCCGATCGTCGGCCACCCCGAAGGCGCAGCTCCGCATGGGCTGGCTGCCAGGGACCGGTCAACCGCACCGCCATCCCGTGCCCCCGCACCACCGCCCGGCCGCTGCCGCTGCGGCTCCTGCTGCCGCCGCCGCCGCCTGCCTTATCCATCCCGAGGAGCCGCACCGGCCGTCCCCGCGCCGAGCAGCGTCCGCAGCGCAGCCAGCGTCTCCCAGTCGGAGCGGCATGGCCCCGCGCCAGGAGCAGCTGCCCGCGCTCTCGGTTGGAGGGCACCTGTCGGCTGTGGTATTGCTGCAGCAGGAGACCTGCCGCCTGCGCCTGCCCGCGCGCCCGCCGCTGCCGCCGGTTCCTTGCCGGGCTGCCGGTGCGTGGTTCGTGGGCCGCCGTCGCGGCCTCGCATGGGCTCAGTCCCAGCCCCCTATCGCAGCGGGCGCGCCCCTGCGCGCGTTCTGGCAGAGAGTACCTGAGCCGAACCTTGAGCCCAAATGGCTACAGACAGGTAACCGCTGCACGAATCAAACAAGCCTTCCATGCTGAGGAGACACTGCGGTTAAACAGCCACTGGGAGAGGACGCGTGCGAGCGCATCATGCGCGAGGCTGGGTGTTTACATCGAGGGCTCGCAGGTCAACATCGTGGTCCACCAAATGTAAACGGGGCATGTACACCGTAAGCGGTCCCCGCCTCAGCACCTCTGCCAGCACCTCAGGGCAGGAAGGCCAGGGTGCTCTCCCGCGGCTGCCCAAGTTCCGCATGCCTTGCACCAGGTGCTGTCCTTTCGATCCGCAGAGGGCGATTGTGCACCACCACCGTGCCCGGCCAGGGCCCTCCTGGCCCAGGACTGCGTGTAGACCCCTCTGGCCAGGGCTCAGGGTTGTAGGCCTCCCAGATGGGGTCTGTGTAGATGGGGTCGGAGGATCGCGCCGCATCGCCGACGCGTCGCCGGCGTCGCCGATGCATCGCCGATGCATCCGCGAGACATCGGCGAGACATCGGCGATGCGTTGCAATCTTCCGGCCGATTCTGGCCCCGTGGCCTTGTCTAGGAGTCTTCCAGTGTAGGCCCTCTTTTTCAGGCCCAGGGTGCCTTCTACAATCTGCCTGGGCCCAGGATGGCCCTGTCTGGGCACGGTGGTGGTGTGCAGGTGCCCTCTGAGACACACGACACTCTTCGACCCAGGTGCTGGCGCGCTCGGCATCATGTGCGGCTGCCGGTGTGTGCAGCAGAGCGTTCTCGAGCTGCCTCTGCTCTTCGCCTGGACGGACGGCACGAGTGTGTCGAGAGGGGATCTGGGGGTCGGAGCGGGGAGGAGAGGTGGGGGTGAGGAGGGGCGACGACGGCTATGCACATGCACCGGGCCCATCCTGGGCCCAGGATCGGTGTATTGGCCAAGCCAGGACGGCTGATGCACCGATCTTGGGCCCAGGATCGGCCTGGCCACTGTCGGTCGATGTGTACATTTGGCATCTTCTTGGGAGGTCGCGTGTGTGTGTGTGTCTGTGTGAGAGTGAAGGACCACTGGGCGGCCTTCACACTCCCCACGCGGCTCCTGGGATGCCCTGCGCATTTCTGTTGAAATTCCCGACGTTTCGCGTATCCCCACCAGCCGTCTTGGACGGCCTGTCCCTGGGTGCACGCACGTGGCCTTCGCTTGGTCATTGGCCATTCGGATCCGCGTTCTGCCTGTGGCTTTACAGTGCCCCGCTGTCCGTCCTGGCCTCGCTTCCGAATGTGGTTCGGCTGGAGCTTGGCGCCGCAAGGGCGACTTCTCCCCCCCGTTCCGCTGCCGGTCGCCGCGCCTTTGCTTCCCCACCTGCCGGGATGTCTGGGCCGGTCACCTGCCGACGCTGTCTTGCGTCTCAAGGAGGGGCCATTTGGCCCTGGCATGTGCATACGCCACTGCGGCCAATTTGCATCGTACCGCGCCCCGGACGTTGTGCCCGCTCCCTGTCCCTCGCCTTGGAGCCGCGAACCAAAAAAGTATCCCCACCAGCCCGAGACCCGTATTGACGACGGCGCCGGCATACCACGATCTGTCATGCTCGTTGTTTTTTTGGCGTTGGTTTTTTTCATCGGGGGGAAGGTTGTACGTGTCCTTCGCGAACAAGTTTGCTGATGCTCCCTGTGCACGTGGGCTCGGCGTTTTTGCTCTTCGCTCTCGGCCTCTGAGCTTGCTGCGTGCCCGCAGGTTCTGTCTTCAGCCGCTGACGACGCGCAACCCTTGCGACGGCGCGCGGCCGTACCGCTTGCGCTCGCGAAGCCGGCCATCCAGAAACGATGCCCGTGCGAGTCGTTGGGAGACGTGACGCAGAGAAGTATCTTGTGAAACAGAGATGCCAATGTGAATGAGCTTGCGATGTATGGGGTCATCTCGAACGCCTCCTGCATCCATCTTGCAAGTGCCGCACGACTTGAGGGCAGCCAGGGCTCTTGGGGCCCTGTGGGTCGGTCTTTCGGAACCTCTTGGAGGCATCATGGAGTCCACTGATCAAACAGGAGGGATCGCTCAGGCGGTTCCAGCGGAGTGCCGTCGCATGTGGACCCAAACGCGATCTCGTCTTCTTGGGCGCTGCCAAGCGCGAGGGCCGTTGCAGTTTCATTGTCCCCCGGGGGGGGCACCAGACTGACCCTATACTCGGGCCCGGCTGGAATGGAACCCCCTTGGGTGTCGCTGGGTGTGCAAGGGCCGCCGTTCTCCTGCGCCCAGGGGGTGGTGTTCCAGCGGAGCGACGTCGTGCGCGGACCCAGCGGGGCTTCAACCTTCATCGGCACCGCCTGATCGTGCCCCCCCCATTTACCCTCCTATTCCTCCTACCCCTCTTCCACATGCTCTTCCACGCCATCCTCATCCATGTCTACTTTTCCTTCCTTCCCGTTCCCCGTCTCGCGATCTGCCACTGAAGTAATCAACTTTTTGGCGCGCGCAGGTGCCGACAAGTGCCAGGGATGGACTTCCGCTAAAAAGACGTGGTGCGAGCGCAACAAGGAACGCCCGCTGGTTCGGTTTGCTTCAGCAACCCTTGAGGAATGCAGTGTGCAACGTTTCAAGGCGACACGGTGGTGTCAGTCGGCATAGCCTGATGATGTAGCGGGCGACCGTTTTGAAACGGATTTGGTTGGCTTCCTTCACGTTCTCACGTGGTCAGCCCTTCCCAGATGTAGTTGTGCCTCTCTCTCCCACTCGTGCTCCCCACCCCTCAGTCCCCTCTCTTTCGCCCCATTTTCTTCCCTTTTCTCTCCTCCTTTATGTATTTTCCTCTCTCTCTCTCTCTGTCGCTCGCTGCCTCTTTTGCTCTAACCTTCCCTCGGTCCCCCTCGCCCTCCCCACTCCCCGCCGCCAGGGTGGTTGCTCCGACCCTGGAAATCCCACCAGCCCTTTGGGCGCAGGTTGCTTAACGATTGCTGTCTTCCCTCTTCCAAAACCACCGCATCTCCTTCGGGGAGGGGTTTACCCCTCCCCCGACCCCCTCCCTTGGACCTGGACGGGAGGGGGCCGCGAGGTGGCAGTGGGCCCCTTTCCTGTCAAGATGGTTCCAAGATGGCCTCAGAGGAACCCAACATAGCCTCTAAGATCATTCAAGATAGTCCAACATGGCTGAATAATACCAGCCACATGCTTCCAAGAGGCCCTAAGAGGGCCACAAGACGACCCCAGGTGCTCTCAGAGCTCCCTCGCCCCCCCCCAGGAACCAACATCTTTCAAACACCTAAGGACATTCAATGAGTTGTGCCTTCTCGCCTTTTCGCTTCCGATGCGCTTTTGAGGCCTCAACATGGCCCCACGATGGCCCAACAAAAACCCAAGAGGGGCACCAGAGGCCCCCAAGACGGGCCCAAGAGCGCCCAAGATCGCCCCAAGAGCGCCCCAAGAGGCGCTTTTGATGGCCCCAGAGGGGGGGGCAAATCGAGGACCCCCCCTCCTTTGATCGATGGTCTCCAAGACGGCCCCAAGAGGCGCTCCATAGCTCTCAAGAGAGCCCCAAGAGAACGCCAAGAGAGCCCCAAAAGACCCCCAAGAGGGCCCCATGAGGGCCCTAAGACGCCCCAAGAGCCCCAAGAGGACCCCGAGACCCACAAAGAGCCCTCCCTAACAGGGCTCCAATATGCCTCAAACGAGTCTCAAGAGGACTCTGGTATCCCCCCAACCAGCGCCGTAGCTTCATAAACGCCTCCGGTGATGCTCCAAGACAGCCTCGAAGATGGCTCAACGCTCTCCTCCTCCTCCCCTCCTTGCACGCTCTGTTTCACTACATGTGTCTCCCAGAGATCTCTCGGTCCACCCTGGTTGCTCTCTTTGTTTCCCTAGATGTGTCTCTTCGTCGCTTTTCCCGTCAACTCTCATGGGCAGGGTTTCTGAATGGGCTTGTGGGGATTTGTTTGTTCGCGACCGCAAACTGAAGGGCCGCGCGCCGTCCAAAGCTACAGCTAACAAGCAGGAGCCTAAATTGCACACGGGAGAGAGAAGAAGAGAGACAACACGAGAGCAGCGGGAGGAGAGACTAGCCGGGGCGGGCCGCGCGGCGCTCATGGAGGGGGTACCGTCGGCAGCTAGCAGCCGCTGGGGGGTGCACGCCAAAGTGGCGGGCAATTAGCTGGCAGCGTGGTGTCCCGTGGTGACTGCGGCGTGGGGCAACCCCGCGGGAGACAGCGGAAGCCGCAGGCGCCCGCGCCTGTCCGAGGGGCAGCACGCGGGGGGCTGAGCGGGGCAAGGGCTACGCATCCTTGCAAGGTGAGCAAGCCTTCTGCGCGTCGGAAGCAACCACTGTGGGTGGCGGCGGAACGAGCGAGATGCGACGTTCGAACAGCAGTTCGCGCCGTGGGACAGGCACGTCGTAATCAGACTGACTGCAGTCAACCGCGCGTCGACACCAGTGAAATGGCCAGCTTGCACGCAGGCGCTCGACGGACGGGAGTCCGGATCGCCCAAACCGGCAGGACGACTGAGGTGTCGGATCCCGCCCGGGGAAAAGGGCAGCGGGGCAAAGCCAAGGGTGGCAAGGCGGGCAAGCCGAAGAGAGAGGGCCCAGGGGCGCTCCTTTGTGCCGAGCAGCGGCGCGCCTGGACCAGGGGGCAGCTCGCCGTGGCGGCTAACCGCGGCAGCGGGAGGGGAAAGGGCCACCCATGTGTGCCGAGGCGGCGGCTGTCCAGGTGGGAAAAGCGGGAACAAGGAATCAGTGCGGCAGGGAGCGCGCCACCGAAGCCACGGCACCGAGGAGGAACACCCTGCAGTATTAGGCGCGAGCGCTAGGCTGCAGTAGCAGCAGGGGGGGGCGCGGAGTGCGCCGGGAGGGGTGCCCTGAAAAAGGGCAGCGCAGAGTCGGGAAGGGTGACGGGGGGGGGGCCCTCGACCGTCGGTGACGCGATGGGCCCCCAGCGGGAGGGGGTGTGGCCGCGCCCAAACGTGCTCAGCCGAGCGCGGGCCGCCTACGGGCCCCTGGGGGCGCAGGAGTTACGAGCAGAGGTGGAGCCCTGTGGGGGGGGCAGTAGCCACCCCGCGGTGAAGCTGCAGTGTTGGTGTGGCGAGGACAAGCAAGGTGAGCAAGCAGCAAACCCAGGGGGATTGCACGGCGGGGCCTCAGCGTTGCTGGGAGGCGACCTGGAGCATTTGGCGCGGCACGCCTGACTAACAGGGAGCGCCCATAGGAACCTCGATGCCCGGGGAAGGGTGGGCGAGCGAACCTGTGGTGGACGACGACGCTGTGAGCAAGGCCGAGACCGAAAACAGCAACGTGCCGTTGGAATACCGGCGCCTCTGGTTGCGCCCGTGCACGAGCAGGTTGTGCAGCACGGGCCTGTGGTGGCCGCTGGTGTAGTGCTTGCTGTCGGCGAGCTGCACGACTGTGACGCAGAACGTGGTGCAGTATGACGACACACCGTGCGTGTAGCAATGTGCGCAGCGACCGACGTTCTGCGGTTGAACCCGCGAACGGCCGCCAAGCACGCCGCAATGAGGGATGTGCCGGCGCGATGAGGGCGTAGCCGCTGGAGCGGTCTTAACGATTTGCGATGAGCTTGGAGGGCCAGGAATGATGCCTCCGTGAATGTTGCCCGCCCTCCAGGGGCGGCTGCTGGAGCTGCAGGAAGGGGGGTGGCTTCTGCTGCACCAGGGGGGTGCCAGGGACACCTGCTGAAGCCCTTGCGCCAGGTGCGGAGACTGCTGCCGCTGCTGCCGCGCCACGTATGCACCCGGTGGCGCCCAGACCTCCCAGGGGCGCGGACAGGAGTGAGGAGCAAGGGTGAATGGTGCTGCTGCCGTTGCTGCTGAAGCTGCTGCTGCAGCTGCGGCGATTGTGCACCGGCTGCAGAGGGGACAGGAGGGGAGCCCGCCAGGGGATTGGGCGGAGTGGTTGGGTCGGCGTGTCTCGACCAGGCGCACTGGAGCAGATCGCTTGGATTCGGGGGAGAGCTGAGTTCTTCGACGACCTCGTTGGCGGGCTGTTGTCGCACCGAGCGTGCATTTGCTGACGCCGCTCTGTTGGCTGGTCGAGCAGCTCTTTTGGCCATTGGAGAAAGCACCGTTTGTACCAAAGCTGAGGCAGGACGTCTCGTCCCGCGCCTATCCGCTTCAGTCGGTGTGGCAGCTGATTTAGCGCGAGCCACCCTTGGGGCCCGGGTGGTTCGCGCTGGTGCTTCTGGCGCGGGTGATGAAATCTGATTTGCCGCCCGTCTTTGGCGCGGCTGACGAGGGCTTGGCGGCTGTGCGCTTCTTTTAAGTGGCGGGCCCGTGACTGTGACCGGCGTCTCCGGTTGGGTTGCATCATGAGTGGTGGGCTTGATGGTGTTCGGTATGAACGTCGCAGCAGCGCCGTTAACGGATGGGGGCTGGGGCTGGTTGTGGCGGCCTGTCGGTCGGGATGTTCTTGTTCTTGTTGCGCGTAGAAGGGTGTGAAAAAGTCTATACTCGTTGCGTGGTGTCCCAGTGTTGAGCAGTTTGGCTAACAGTTCCCCGCTTGGTCGTCCAAGGTAGTAGTGAGCAAGGCTCGTCTGGCGCGGTGGGGTCGCAGGGGTGATTCCGAAGCATGCCGCAGGCACTAACGATCGCCAAGTTCGGCTTGGCGACGTGCTAATGTGAGTCGCCCCCCGCACCCCGTCCAGGTAGGCGAGCTTCGTTCCAATAGTTGATCAGCAAATTATAGCTTTCCTCACTCGGCCGAAAATGTTCCAAAAGCCTCCTGGTTGGTGCGCGGAGTTGGCCGATCGTGGTTCCCCAGAGGAGGAGTGGCATGACAGTTTGCCAGTCCTTTGCGGAGTTGATGTTCTCAACTCTGCCCTTGAATTCTGGAGTCTTAACCTCCTCTGTCAAATGGCCAAGGTAATGCTTCGTGTTCTTGAGAAGTGCGTTCCACTTGGTGTTGATGGTGCAGTGGAGATTCAGTCCTTCTGGAACTCCGCCGGCCCTGCCGAGTGAGATTTTCTCGGAATCAATCTCGCCCGCGCCAGGGAGTGGCGACAGTTTGTTTCTTCGATCGGTGCCCTGCGTCGCGTGTGCTGAGGGGCCCGTGGCCTGGGGGCTGGGCGCGGGGGAGTGAAATTGGCCAGAGGTGGCACGGTTACTCCCGTTAGGGGAGGCCTCGGCTGCTGGAGAGCGGGTGGGAGAGGCAGCCGGGGTTTGCGGGGCGGTTTGCGCGCCAGTGCCTTGCAGTGGATGGGTTTCAGCGGGAATGGGGGGGGGTGGCGGAGGAGACGTCGGGGAGGAGGATGTCCATCATTGCATGGTCTCCTGGAGAGGTCGGGGCGCTCGCGCTGGGGGTAGCGGCAGGAGTGGCAGGTTGCTGCTGGGAAGGTCGGGGCTGCGTGGCGGGGGTTGGGATTGACTGAGTCCTCGGCGCGGAAGTGACAGGTTGCTGCGACGAAGGTCGGGGCTGCGTGTCCGGGTTGGGGATTGACTGAGTCGGCGGTGCGGCGCGAGTCATGGAGGCGGGGACTTGGCGGGGGCCACTTGCCTGAGCCCTGCGTCTGGGTGCGCGTCCTGGGTCGGGGCGTCGT